TGTTGTGTTTTTTAATTATGTATTGTCTTATATGTTAAAAGTTTGTTTCCCCCTTCCCCTTGGGTTGTGAGCCACCCTGAGTCCCCCCAGGGAAAAGGGCGGCATATAAATAAAATTCTAAAAAAATAAATTAAAAAAATGTGTCTAATAGGCTGATACAGGGTCACTGAGACCTCCAACATCCTCTGTCCAATCTTCAAACTCAGAAACCAAGGATGTGATATTTCAAATTTCAGCCAGCTGGGAATGACTGTTTTGTCCTTCAGGCGGTTATCTTGCCCTTCTTCCCACACAGAGAGCTCTTAATCTGCCAAGTATTTGTAAGGGGGCTTCATCCATCCTACAGACTTCCAAGCTATAATTAGCTGGAAGCAAACCCTCCCTACGTTCAGCAATAGACGAATTTCTCTCGGAGACCTTTGCCAAACGGGATCCATGCGCTCTTATATTCAGCATTTCTCCCCTTGCATAGCCCCAACCCCCAGCATTAAGCAAAGCTATTTGCAATGAGAATTGCGGCACCTCTTACCCAAAACAGTTCTGGAAGTCCTTTTCGTATCGCTTGCTGTCCGTGAAACGGGAGCTTGAAGACTTGGCCCTGCAGATACAGCAACCCTCCAAACTGCGATACATCTTCGGTTTGTGAAAGCCGAACATCGTTCCGTCCCTCCGTTAGTCTGCAGGGGTAACAGGGGAGGGAGGGGAAGGTTGAGCTGAAATCAAACAAAAAGGAGAAGAAAAAACAAGGTGGACACCGTGAAAAGATGAAGGAGAAATCTCCTCCAGTTGTGGTTCTTCTGCCAACTGACACTCTGCATTGCAATAAAAAAATGCTCCGCAAGTGCTCTAAATTAAGCACTACCGCGACCGCCCGTCCATAAAGGCAGAAGTCTCAAATCCATCTTCATCGCTATGGATCAGAGTGGCAGCTTTTTTCCGCCCTTCCTCTCAAGGCAAAGGACGTTACAGGAAATGCAATGAGACATGTAACAAGGTGACCTAAGACACGAGATGGGATGCCAAAAGCAAAATGAGAATCAACCACACCTGCCTTGTGGAAGGGGACTGATCTATCTGCCAGGCTTAAAACAAGCAGGGAGTGGATGATGGGCAAGGGGTTTACAATCACATCTATTCTGGAGGGGAGAGAGGCGAGGAGGTTTTCTCTGCCATGAACGGTCACACAAAAACAAGGAAAGCGTTGTGACTTCAGCACTAGGTTGCTTCCTCCACATGGGTGATGTGATAACCCAAAACTGTCACCGTTCCATCATATCGACTTCTGGGGACTATTTGCCCACATTCTTTCTACTTGCAAGAAACAAAATAAAAATGTAACTGAAGAGGAAAGTCTTAAGAAATTATTAGCCTTACCAGGTAAGGCAGAAGGGAGACGCAACCAGATAAGCTAATTCTATTTGGTTCACCCACAAAACCGCGCCTGACTAAACCGCGTCGCTGACGTCATCAACAGGGCGACAACAGCACGCTGTAAACCCTAAACCTAAAATTCACCCCTAAACCTAAACCTAACCCCCCTAAACCTAATCCTAAACCTAATCCTAACCCTAACCCTTAACCTAACCCTAACCCTTACCTTAAGTTGAATCGGC